AGACTGTACAGTGTTGGTGTACACCTTAGAAACTGTACAGTGTTGGCATATACCTTAGAGACTGCGCAGTGTTGGTGTACACATCAGAGACTGCGTAGTGTTGGTGTACACCTTAGAGACTGCACTGTTTTGGCATACACCTTAGAGACTGTACAGTGTTGGCATATACCTTAGAGACTGTACAGTGTTGGCGTACCCCGTAGAGACTGTACTTTGTTGGTGTACCCCGTAGAGACTGTGGTGTATTGTTTTACTCCGTACAGACCATGCTGTGATGGTGTACACCTTAGACAGAATTTAGTTGTTGTGTAGGAGAATTTGGTTAAAGTACCAGGAACTGCCCGAAGAACAAACAAATCTGTGTGGGAAGAAGTGTAACCAGAATGCTCCTTAGAAGCCAGGATGGCGAGACTTCATCTCTTGTAACTTCAGACATGTTATCAGGAGGGACCTGTTCCTGGAGGACATCATGCTTGGTGGAAGGTAAGGACGACCTGCAACAAGATGGATCGGCACAGCAGCAGCCGCAATGGGCTCAAGCACAATTGTGAGGATGGCGTAGGACCAGGCAGAGTTGTGTTTTGTTGCACAGGGGTTGCTATGAATTAGAAGTGACTCAACAGCCCCAAACAACAACTAAAAAGAAGGTGGCAGTCCGTGTACATCCAAACAATCTCCGAGATGGAACGTGAACAGACGGTACCAGTTATCATTTAGGAAGAAGGGGACAAAAGGAGAAGGGGAAGAAAGGAAAGAAAAGAAAAGCGCATGTACCCATCTATCCCCACAGGTTGCATGGCCTCACTATGAGCTGAAATCCACTGGGCAGTCACCACCAACAAAGCATGGGTCATCCCTGGAATCAGGAACACTGACCAAATTGGGATGCTGGGGGTGGAAAGAGGAGATTTCCATAGTCTAATCTTTTGTACCTTTTGCATTTTGAGCCAAGTGCACAAATGTATTTTATTCAAAGAAATAAGTTAAATTAAGTGCAAATAAATCATCTCAACTTAGAAGTGAAAAAAAAATTTTTTTTTTTAAACAACAAATGTCAGTGAAGGTGTGGAGAGACTGGGACACTGCTGGTGGGACAGTAAAATGATGCAAGCACTATGGGAAATGGTACAGTCTCAAAATGCTGGATACAGAACATTCCTAGGACCCAGGAATCCCCCTACTTGGTGTACAAACAAACATTGGAACCTACACACAATGGAATACTAGGCAATACCAAAAGTTAACAATGATGAATCTGCGAAACACCCCAGAACCTGGATGAACCTGGAGGACATTATGCTGAGTGAAATTAGTCAATCACAAAAGAACAAATATCATATGAGACCACTATAATAAAACGCCAAGAAAAGTAACATTCTCGGATGGTTCCCTCCAGTGGAAGAAGGGAGAATTATTCAGAGGTTGTGGTGGTGGTGGTGATGTGCCGTGGAGTCGGTTCCGACTCATAGCGACCCTGTACAGGGTTTCCGAGTCTGTAAATCTTTATGGGAGCAGAAAGCCTCATCTTTCTCCCGTGGAACAGCTGGTAGTTTCGAACTGCTGACCTTGCAGTTCGCAGCCCAATTCATAACTACTATGCTACCAGAGTTCCCTATTCGGACGGTAGACAACAACAAATGGCTGACAGGTGTTAACTTGGGTGGTGGCAAGGCAACCTACAACCACAGGGAGGTGGGCAGACGAAAAATGAAAGTCAGGGAGGAGAGCAAGAGTTAAAAGGAAAAGAGGTTAATAACCATTAAGGGATGGTACATGGAGGGGACTATACTCACTACAATGAAACACAGTGCATGATGGACTGAATGTAAACTTACAGTCTGCTCTATAAACCTTTACTCAATTCACAATAAAAAGTTATTTAAAAAATGACACTCCAAATACATAAATGTTCTGTCCATTTGCCACGCCACTGTCAGGTTCTGTGTTTGTTTTTGATTACAAGGTGTGGTGACAAGGGTTCCAGCAGCTTCCCCTGCCCACTTCTCTCCATCCCTCGAGGGCCCTACCTGGCCAGGGCCTGGACCTTCACCACATGCCGCTCCTCCTGCTCCGCCACTTTCTTCTTGAGTGTGTCCATCTCCTGCCGGAGTGCAGCTGAGTGCTCCATCTCACCGTCTAGCAGGCTGCGCAGCGATCTGGGAAGAGAGGACCCATCCATTCAGACACTATGCCCCGAACATAGTCATCTACCGAATGCAGCAAGACCTCATCTGCTCATTTTCCACAAGACTCCACTGAAACCAGAACTGAAGTCTATGTTGGGCTATTTGGTTTAAGGAGATCCCATACTACAGTCAGGGAGCCTCAAAGGAATGGACCTGAGAGACGGGCACGTGGCCTGGGCTCTGTGTTCCTGCAGCCTGGGAGGGGGCAGGTCATCAGCTCCAATCAGCGACAAATGCTGAATCAGCACATCCCAGCTAGGTCCCAGTAAAGACCATCCACTCAAGGGTGCAGCATGCTAAACAGAGACTATTTTTTCCAGTCATGTTGGACAGGACACTTAACCAAGACAGGGATGCCAGGAGGGGCCAAGAGAACCATCTGAGGCATCCAAACAGATGTGTGTCATAGATTGTATTTTCAGTCCTGTATTTGTTAACTCTGCAAATACATGTCTGCTTGCATGCCATTCTTTGTCTTAGAAAAGGGAGAAAGCAGCAGCTTGCCCAGAGAGAAACGGAGAAGTTCCCACCATGAAACGAAGCTGACCACTGACCTCACCGTGCCTAAGGCAGCTGTTTCTAAAAAACCACCAACTGGGGTGAGTCCACAGACTAAATCCATAGGACATTTGCCCCATGGCAACAGAATGTAAACTGGGCTTTTCTCTAGTACTGCTGTTCCCCAAGGATGCTGAGAAACAGCTTCCTCTTGAAGCCTGGTACCACTCTGACCCCACATCTACCTGCCAAAATACCCTCACCTGCACTCACACCCACTCCCACCCACCTACAGCAATCACACACACTCACCCCCACCCAAACACACACCCATACTACCACCAACCTCCCCCACACACACACTCCCTCACCCCCCACATCTACCCACATAGCAAACTCCCACACACTCACCCACACCCACACTCTACATCACTCACCCACCCCCTCCAAACACGCCCACCCCATTCATACTCACACCAACCCCCTCCCACACACACTCACTCACACACACACAAACCCACCCCCATACCACCACCCACCCTCCCACACATACACACACACTCACCTCCAAACACACCCCCAAATACATTCACCCCATCCATACCCACTCCAACTCCCTCCCACACACACTCACCCACACCACCACACCAATCTCCCACAGCCACCCCTCAAACACACGCAGCCCACCCAAGCCACAACCATAGCACCATACCAAACTCACACGCACACACTCATCCACACCATACCCACACCACACACATACCTATCCCATCCATACCCACATCTCCACACCCACATACCCACACCAACTCTCTCCCCCACACACACAAACACACACACACAAACATTGTGATGGTTTCAAGGTAAGACAAAACCCTAAGGCTTCTTCCAAGTTAAAAGCTCCAACTGGAGCAAGGAGAAAAACTCCTCCAATGTCTATGAGCTCTCTGTTGAAAGCTTCCTTTAGTTGGAAAATGACCCTGTTTCAAGATTCCATTTTTTTTTTTTTTTTTTTAAAAAAAAAAAAAAAACTTTTAAGAGAAAGGAGGGTAGCTGACCAACATGAGAAACAATTAATGTCACGACGTACACATGTGAAGAATGCTGAAGTGGCCAATGTTTTGCTCCACACATACTTAGCACAATTTTTTTAAAACACCCTGTTGGCTTAGAGAAGTAGGCTTGCTTGTTTTAATAAGTTCCCAGAAAGGTAAAGGAGAAGCTTGGCAACTAAAGTCCCAAAGAATGTTTAAAAAAGGAATCTTCAGGATTGGGTACCACCATGAATTCTAATTCCCACAAGGACTGAAAGGATACAACGTACACACACGGACACAGCACGCAGACACGGACACGGCACGCAGACACGGAAACGACACGCAGACATGGACACGGCACGTGGACACGGACACACACCAGGCCCAGCCCCAAGGAAGGCAGCCAAATTGTGTTCCTAGGTCAGTTGAGGATTGTCGACCAACACCTCTATCATTGATGCCACAGCAAGAAGACTGATGTGCCCTCAGGTGGACAGATGGCAGCAGTGTGCCAATGGGCACTCGGGGGCACTGGATTCAAAAGGGAATAAAAGACAAATAAAACCCATTGTCCTTTCAGTATCTGCAATGAGGCTTGTCACTATCCAAATGTGTATCCAAACAAGGATGTACATTTACATATGGCTTCCAGGAACCAGCCTGCCTGACTCCTCATTCTGCCCTAGGTCTCCATGATCATGGTAGACTTGAGGCATTCAAGAGCCTGCAGCAGGCGGGGCAAACCCTCCGACGTCTGTCTGAGGTCATGTCATGATTGTAAGGGTCTCACTCCTGGCTTCCCCACAAGCCACACTCAGGTGGTACATCCCAGGCCAAAAGTACAAAGACATCGATCACAATTTCACCAGCAAAACGAAATTTGTACCATCTGTTATATCTTCTCCATGCCAGACGTAGAATAGAGTTTCTCAAGTCCAAAGAGCACGCTACCTGTTTTCTTCCTCCAGCTCGTCTTTCCGATTCATCATGGCCATGATGGCTTGCCGTAGCTCATCTAAGGGGAAAAGCAGAGACAAAATGAACTCTCCCGTTCTCACCTGGTCCATCGTCCCCTCGCTTCTTGGGAATATATAGCTTGTCTGGACATGGTTCCTATGCACTTCCAAAAAAAAAAAAAAAAAAAAAAGGGCCTAAAGTAAAGTCTTGCCTCAGGGAGCCAATGACAACAGTCCATTATTCTTTTATTGACCACACAAAACGGTAAGGAAGGCTCAGAATAAATGTGTCTATTCCTTGATGAACAGACTCAGCTGCTAGGAGAAAAACTCACTTGCAGTTTCTAAGTGCTTTCCTAAGCTTCTGCTACTGAATAAGGTTGGTGTTGAACAATGATTCATTCCACGTTATAGCTGTTGGTCAGCTTAGCAGATCAAGTGACATTTGGCTACATGCTGGCAACAAATACTCAACTTCAACAAAACAGGTGGTTTCCCTGTACTGACATCCGATAGTTGGGATACAGGTGACACTCTGAAGGGAAGAACTATCTCTCCGACACACACAGTCTGTAATCACTTGTAAGAATTACTCTTTTAGGTATCTTCAACTTATGAAAGCATTCACGGACAGAAAACAACCCGTTAAATCAGCGCTCCCTGGTCTAACCTACAACCAACCTAACTGTCATCATGATTTACATATTTAAGAAACTGTTCTCCATATCGCTCAGATCTCCAGACCAGGGATCTTGGGGGGTGGGAGGGAGGGAATTTCCTGGAGAGGCCGTTTTTTTGGGTTTTGTTTGTTTTCTTTTTCCCTAATAGACTTTGTGATGTGAGGTTGCCTCTTGAAATTGGCTATTAGGAAGCTCGGAGCCAAAACCGCAGCACAAATCTAGCAAGTGTGTGTGGTAAACAGCCAACACTCTGTTCCTACCTGCCTTCTGGTCTTCTTTTCCAGCCTGGCTTCCACCTTAGGAGTGCCTGGGTGGCTGCTACTTGGAAGGCTGGGGGTTCAAATACACCCAGCAAAACCAAACCCACCGCCAGAGTCAATTCCGACTTACAGGGCACAGCAGAATTGTTCCACAAGGTTTCTGCGACTATATGTCTATATGGGAACAGACAGCCTAGTCTTTCTCCCAAGGAATAGCCGGTGGGTTTGAACCACGGTTCTGGCACTTACAGTTAGCAGCCCAATATCTAACCCACAGCGCTACCAGGGCTCCTTAAATGGACCCAGAGGTACCTCAAAAGAAAGGCCTGGCGATCTAGTTCCAAAACAGGACAGCCACTGAGAACCCTATGGATGCATGCAGTTCTACACTGAAACACACGGTGCCATTGGTGAGTCAAGCGGACTGCAACTGGTTGGCTTCCCAAGTCCACAGCGGTAGAGTTACTACTGGCTATTTTATTTCTAGCCCTCCTTCAACCACAACCCCACCCCCAAGCACCCAGTACAGGGCCTGACACACAGCAGGTGCGCATGTGGATGCAGAAAAGTGGAAACTCCCCTAGAATTTTAGTCTTACCCAAGGAATTCACCAGCTACTCCTCAGAAACCCTATAGAGGGTCACCGTGAGTCAACAAAGAAGGTTCGAGGAGACCTGCTGGGGCAGCGGGTTAACTAGTGGGCTGCTAATGGAAAGTCGGCGGTTCAAACCCACTAACTGATCTGCAGGAGAAAGATGTGGCAGTCTGCTTCTGTAAAGACTACACAGCCTCTACTCTGCCCTATGGAGTCCTGGTGTGGTGCTGCGGGTTAATGAGCTGGACTGCAAAGTCGGTTTCAACTGCAAGGTCGGCAGCTTAAGCTCACCAACCAGTCCTCAGAAATGCTATACAGGGTCACTATGAGTAGGAACCAACTCGACGGCATTTAACAACAATTCTGTCCTTATGGGGCGGCAATGAGTCGAGATCAACTAGGAAGCAGTAGTTTGGTTTTTTGGAGTTTTTTTGGTAAGGCAGGCATATCCCTAAAGGAAGATTTCCTCAGTGAAAACAAGGATATACATTTACATATGACTACCAGAAACCACCAGTCTGCCTGACTTGTCATTCTGAACTGGGTCAGGAAAGCCGAGCCCTAGCTCAGGGTCTCAGCCCAGTGCCCCAGCCTCTCTTGAGCTTCTCCAGAGCACAAAGAGGCTACGGGGGTACCAGCCTCCAGCCCCGGCTACCAGTCCTGTGAGGATCAGAGGAGCAACGAGATGGGGTGGAGCAAGGCCAAGGAATGAGCGCAGCAGGGGCATTAACAATTTACAAACAGGATAAGCACTGCGAACCCACAGTTGGCATGCTCCTCAGAAACCCTATGGTGGTGGTGGTGTTTGCGTGCTGTGAGTCGGTTCTGACTCATAGGAATTCTGAGGCTGAAAATCTTTTATGGAAGCAGAAAGCATCATCTTTCTCCCACAGAGCAATCGGTAGATTCGAACTGCTGATCTTGGGGTTAGCAGCCCAACTCGTAATCCAAACCACTACCAAGGAATTCTATCCAGGGTTCCTATGAGTTGGAACTGACTCGCCAGAACCTACCAACAACAGCGTCATCAAGCTGAAAGTAGTGATGAAGATGTAGGAAAAAAATAAAAAATGGAACTTATTCCATACCACCTCAGCCATGAGTAAAATCAGCCTTCAAGTATTACTGTTGTTGTTGTTGTTAAGTGCCGTCGAGTCAATTCTGACCCATATCGAGCCTGTATAGGGTTTCCAAGGAGCAGCTGGTAAGTTTGAACCACTGACCTTGCAGTTCAAATGGCTTTGTAGTCTGGAGCATTAACCCACAACGCCACACCAGGACTCCAAGTATTACTGAGGACAGGCAAAATAACATCGCATTGGCGCTTCTCTTAGAAATATCCAGAGCAGGCGGCCAGGCTACTGCCCCAATACAGAACCAAGACTTGGGAAATTGCTCCCTCCCTCCCAGGCCTGTTGGAATCTGAATCTTCCAATGCGGTCGTCTTCTCCACTGGGGTGCTCAATGCCCAAACTTCACACAGGGGCTGGGGCTCAGGAAGAGGAGCCTGCAGAACCACAATCGAAAGCTGGAAGAAACAGAAGTCTCTTCTTAATCATACAGCTTGCCCTCCTCCCTCTTCTCCAGGCTCTCCTGATCAAATGTGCATCTCTGCTCAGGAGCAGCCCAGCGAGTGCACCGGTAATGGACAGGAATGAACGATTTGCAGTGGATCAACACAGAATAAACCCAAAGGAAACAAAGTACACAGTGTGTATCCTCCGTGAGGGGGCGCCCGGGGCTGAACAGGACGGAGCATCCTGTCAGCATCCCCCATCTCTCAGCTCAGCAGCACCACTCCTGGGGGAGGGGGGAGCGCTCAGGCCCATGAACTTTGTTGGTGCTGATAAATGCCACTGAGATGGTTCCGACTCATAGTGACCCTCTATAGGATTTCCAAGGAGAAGCTAGTGGGTTTGAACCCCTGATCTTGTGGTTTCATCCTGCAGTGGCATACCAGGACTTTGTGAATTTGCACTCTGTCATTCCATAAGCCCTGGAATATGGTGGGCCATCCTTGCCTGACCCCAATGGCAGCACAACCTGGCTGTCCCAGCACACTGCCTGTCTAAGGGGCTCTCGGGCACACATGCAGACCTGGGATTCCCCTACCCTCAGTAAGATGCAAATCCAACAAGTATCATTTCATAGATTTTTGACAACTTCCCTCATGTCCGCTCCCCATTCCCAATCCCAAAAACCCCAACTCAGCTATTGAGGCCCCTCCAAGCAGCCCTCTCTGAACCCAGACCCAGGTTGTCACTGGGCCCTCCATTCATAGAACTGCAGTACATGGAAGGGCTTGTGACCATCTTCTCCTGAGACATGATGCTGTCCCCAGAGCTTCCGCACGTTGTGTGCTCAGTCGAGGTGCATGGCTGCTCAAACCCACTATCTGCTCCTTGGAAAAACCATATGCAGGGTCACTATGAGTCAGAACCTGCCCTTGCTTGTTATAAATAAAACTTTGCTGCGCTTAGATACACATGACTCTAAGTCACTCTCAACTAGAGACCAGGTGGTGAACGCCTTGAGTTTGGTAACAGTAGAATAAACACTGGACTATTAACGACAGGGACAGCAGTTGAAGCCCACCAGCCTCTCCAAGGGAGAAAGATCACCCGCAAAGATTTACAGTCTGGGAAACCCTCTATGGGGTTGCTGCGAGTCGGAACAAACTTGACGGCAGTGGGTTTGGTTTGGGTTGGTTAGCAATGTAGCCTCACCTGACATGTCCTGTTTTAGTTCTCAGAAACCACCCTGTAAGAACAGGGAAACCAAACAGACCTTGCCTATCCCATCTCTCAAGGACTGAAATTGACAAAAGTGTCCTGGCAGGGCCAAGAACTGGAGAAGAACAAGGTACTGGGGTGGAGTGGGCAGGGGTGGGAGATGAAGGGGACAAGACAAGGTCAGATGGGGTTCCAGTAGCTTTCATCACAAGGACATGAGTGGAACCTATGGAAAGCTCTCATCAACATACCCCAGGGCAAGCAGATCTGAGTTCAAATCACACTTGGGCCACTTACTGGCTGGTAGCCTGGAATGGGTTTTCCCCTTGGCAAGATGCGAAACGGGAATGATGCCGACTCTGTAGGATGGCAGTAAGACTCAACAGCACGCACCTGCCAGGTACCCACAGCTCAGCACACGGACTGCAGCGAGTCACAGAGAGGTGGTTGGGTCCCCAGGTTCAAACCCTGCCTCCAGATCTGGGTGACCTTTAGCAGGTTACCAACCTCTCTGAGCACCTACTTCCTTCTCCCTCAAATGGGATTCTCATAGAGATGATCTCATAAAAATGTTTTAAAGTAATGAATATAAGAGGCCTTCAAAAAATTCATGGACAATTCCATTAGTGTCCCATCCCATTTTTTAAGTGCTCAGCACAGTGACCAGCACAAAGTAGCCAGTCAGCCCATCACTGGTAGCTACCACTGGTTTCCTTCCCTTTGACAGCAGGGAGTGAGGGTGAGGGCTCCAAGCACAGGCTGCTGAAACTGGGCTTGTTGTCAGGGGTTACA